CAAAAAAAAAAAAAAAAAAAAAAAAAAAAAAAAGACTGCAACTCTGAGATGAACCAAAGAAACAAAACAATCCTCACCTCAAGTCTAATTGTAATCACTAAACTAAAGCCATTTGGAACACTTCTTCTCAAATAGGGCAGCCTTCATTTGTGTATGCTAGTCTGGAGAAATGTAATGATATTTATAGATATGAAAATCATGAGAAAGCTGGTTATTTCCACCATGAACAGACTGACTGTAAAGCCAAAAGCTTTACTAATCTATGCTTTTTCCTTTAAATAGCTGTAATTTTAATTTAATAAGCCTGTCCTTCTAATGACTGAACTTCCTTGCAAACCTTCTTTGAAACTAAATTCTTTTATCATACGAAAATAATTAAATAAAAATATTCTGTCTTCTTTTTCACAAATTTTGAAGTCATCTGGACACACAAAATATCAAGTATTTATAGGTCAATGAAACACTAAAAGATACTTTTAAAACTTACTTTGTAAGCTGAGCAAACTCAAATTCTAACAATCTTTTTGCTTCCAATAAAGTATTTATTTCCTGTTTCATCTGTTTTTCTGAACCTTTTAAATTGTCTGTTTCAAATGCTTGAGTCTTCAATTCATTCTGTAACAATAGCCGTTTATTTGATTCCTGTTCCAGCTGCAGTGTGAGATTCTTAACCTATGAATGAGAAAACCGATCTTAATCATCTTAATCATTTTAGAAATTCATTAGATATTTGAAAGGCTACTAATCAAATTTCAAGAACATTATTATCTTTTGCATTATTCTAATTTGTGTCTATTACTGCATATTTACTAGGGTGAAAACAGTATCTAAATTTTAGATATGAAATCTGTGGGAAAAAGAAAAAATCTTAATTTCACCTAGTCTGGAAATTTTGGAAAATAATGGTTAAAAGTCATGTGTGAAGGGACATTTCAAATGAGTACTTGAACTTAGCTGTTCTTCCACAAATGTTGATATGTTCTATTTATATGATCCTAAAACTTAAAAAAAAATAGTTAATATTAAGTATTTATTACTGTAGGAGCCAATGAACTCAAAATTCTTGCAGCAGTGTACACATGTTCATTCTGCTGTCTGCAAGGGATAGCACTAACCCTTCACCTGCATGTTGTACAGGCAATTCTCCTTTCTGTCCTTTCCCTGGACAGTTTGACACTACAGCATGCTCAGACTTAATGAATAATCTTAAGATGTTTTATTCTTCAGTTCCCAAACACCACACCCTTAGCAAGGCTTTCCTTAATTTTTATAGAGTCACACATATGTTGTGCTTGAAATTATGATTGGGCTTTCTAAACTGTCTGTTCCTGAAAAGTATACAGATATACCTACCTATCTTACTCATCTTAATAACCCCAATTTTGAGTTCTCTTTTAATTAAAAAAAATTTGGAGTTCACTTGTTTTAAAAATTTAATTTTACTTTATGTTTATGGTGCTTAGCCTACATGGTATGCCTGTGCCTGGTGTCTGCAGAGGCCACAAGAAGGTGCTGGGTTCCCAGAAACTGGGGTTACAAATGGTTGTGAGCTGCCATTGTGGGTGCTGGGAATTAAACCCAGGTTCTCCTGAAGAGCAGTAATGTCCTTAACATCTAAGCAACTTCCAGCTGCATCTTCCAAACTTTCAATATATAGACAGCGATAACCTGCTTGCTAGTTTATTTCTCATCTCTTGTTAGTCAGGTGTATATAAAGTTTTAAAAGAACACTGGTTACTTTAGAGACCAAATGTCTCTTGTGACAGCTCCACATCATGCTTTCATCTCTGGACCCATTTTCTTTTCCCATGACTCACACATCTTCTTACAAGTACACATCTGTTCTCCAATGTTGCCTCCAGCAAGACAAGTCTTGGAGGCTGCTTACAAATAATGTTTAAAATACTTACAGTAAAGTAACCACCAACATACATAATGCCTTTTATCTTTTTGTCAGCAGCATTATAAATATGTACTACATGTTTTCTATCAATATAAGCTATTCCAAGCAGCAGTTAATTGTTTTTAATGCTTTTCTAGACAGCACAGATACTTTCCATAGTCTTTTTTTAAGGAAATAGCTTCTAAGAGGAACTAAGACATTTTGACACAGTTGCATGCACTGTCGTGATACACAATGGAACAACTTCTAGGGAATTAATGTTTAATAGCTATCTGAAATGAAAATTCTAAGTTCTGGGATGACAGTATAGCAGTGAATACATACTTCATTCAAATCATCTGTTTCAAATACAGATAAAATTTCTCCAGTCACAACCTAGAATAGTTTCTCTTTTAAAAGAAGGATAAAATTAAAGTTAGTACTGTGTCTTACTTCATCTTCCATCCTTTCTTTATTTTCAGTCAAATGTTCTAGCTTCTGCTGAGATTGTTTCAGATCAACATCTAGCATAGAGCACTGTTTCTCAGTCTCAACAACTCGATTTTCAGCCTTTTCTCGAGCTTCTCTCTCTTCCTTCAGCTTTTTTTCCATTTCTGCAACAGAACAAACACTTAATATTTTTCACTTTAGCTGGTCTGGAAATTGGTCTTTAAAATCTCTATTGATTTTATTCTGTAACTGTAATAGGTATTAATTATAAAAGTTCTAAGAGCATTTTAGTAACTTACATGATAAGACGATCTGAAGAAAAAAATTATAAAATATAATAATATAATAAAATAATAATATAATATATAATAATAAGTCTCAATCTAGCCCTTGCCCAAAGGAGAGGAGACAATTCAATAGTGTCTAGACTGGAAGATGAAGTGTAATTGGAAAGAAGAATAAGGTATGAAATGAAGGTAAAGAATAGAAAAACATGACTTAAGTTATTAATCGCATTAACTTATTTGTTTGCTTATTAGTTTTTCAAGACAGGGTTTCACTGTGTAGCTTTCCCGGAACTCCCTCTGTAGATCAGGCTGGCCTCGAACTCACAAAGATCCGCCTGCCTCTGCCTCCCTGAGTGCTGGGAATAATGGCATGCGCCAGGATTGTACCTGGCTTCTTTCTTGCATTGGTTTGGAAAAACTTCAAAAGCTCTATAGACAGGAATTCTTCAACTCAATGACAAGATTCCATGTTGCAGAACACCTCTTTCAATCATTATCAGAAGACCCTAGCATTTAACAGGATCCTTATTCTGGGATACGGTAAGTCAAATTCTGAGAATTTTTACTTTACCACAGTCATGGCAGTAGAAGGTTGTATAACCAAGAAAATCTTTTTGCTATTCTTGGTGCGTGACTGTCTCAAGACAAACAATTAGAGTTGAAGTTCAAATTTCCCTAACCTTATAAATACAGCTGTACTAACATAACCACTGTCTCCTGAATCCCTTCTCTCCAGTGTAACACAAATTCACTTCACTTATGTTTGGACTCCAGATATCTACCCTTGAGTTCCAGACTTACATACCAATTGAGTAGTTAATATATCCATCTAGGTAGTTGACAAAAGTAATCAGTTGTTGTTTTCGGGGATGTGCTGAGATTTGAACACAGGCTTAGCATGTGTTTTGCCACTGAAATATATCCCTAGCCCCCAAACTTAACACACTGAAAGTAATACCTTTCGCTCCAATCCCCAAATCACTTCTATTGCACTTATATCAATTTCTGTATAAGGACATAACCATTCATTCAGCTGTTCAAACTAAATACCTGAGTCTTTCTTGCTTCCTTCCATCACATTTTTGTCCTTTGTGCTTCTGCTTCAATGCCTTCTGCTCACCACCAGTGCACAGATCCTAATTTTCTAATGGGTCATTGCTGTGGAATATTCCTATACACTGTGTAAATTATGCTCTGACTGGTTTAATGAAGAAGCTGACTGACCAATAGTGAGGCAGGATAAGATTAGGTGTAAAAACCAAACTAAGGTGGGTAAGAAGAAGGGCAGTCAGGAAAGACACCAGCTAGTCGCTCAAGAAGCAAGATGCTGAAAGACAGGTAAAGCCACACGAGCCATGTGGTGTGGTGAGATAACCACCCTGCCCACACCTGTAGCACTGACCACAAACGTTTGGGTATGGTCACAGGTGTGGATGTGACTGAGGGTAGGACTAGATCTGGGGTCCCTGACCCCAGCACTCTCTGTTGCTTTCAGTCGGGTCACAGAAAAGCAGCCTGTGCAGATCCTTAGAGCGGGAACCTGTGATAGCCATCTGCTTAAATTACATTTAACTTATATTTGAGCATGGTCCTTGGACATGACGGCTATCTCACTACAATATGGCAATCCAATAGAAATGGATTAATTTAAATGTAAGAGAATAGTAATAAGCTTGAGCTACTAGCTGAGTATTTTATAATTCATATAAGCCTCTGGGAGAGAAACATCAGTTTAAGTTTATAGATCATCCTATTTCCATTGCTCCTTTTCAAAGCATTCTCCAGATAATAAGAGCAGTCTTTTAAGAACATCAATTAAAACTGCAGTTGGAGATAATACAATGGACTAACACTGACCTCAGGTACATCTGAAGTAATAATAAAATGAGGCAACTGGTTGGTTTAAACTAGGATTGTGGCTGGAAGCTATCACAAAAAGTAAATATAAAGGAATTAAAAAAAAAAAAGAGGCAAAAAAAGAACCTAAGTAACAATGAAGTCCAAAATGGATCATGAAGAAAAATCAAGGGACAGACTGAAAAACTGGGGAAAAAAAGAAGAGTCCACTTGTAGCAGGCTTTCTTTTGGGCTGTCAACCAGTTCCCAAATCATGACACAGAGACTCATTATTAGTTAAGAATGCTAGCTAGGCCTTATCTTATGTTTTATTTCTTACTAGCTCTTATAACTTATTCTCTTCTTTACATTTTGCCTTGAGGCTTTTTTTACCTTTCTTTCATTCAGTATGTCTTACTTCATGTCTGACTGGTTGGTGGCTGACTTGCTGGCTAGTCGTGGGCATCTATCTCCCTTTCTTTCTGCCTTTCTCTCTGGAGTCTAGATTCTTCCTCTTACTTATTCTCTCTGCTTGACAGCCCCACCTATGCCTCCTCTGCCTAGCTACTGGACATTCAGTTTTTTATTAGACCAATCAGGTACCTTAGGCAGGCAAGGTAAAACAGCAACGCATCTTTACGGAATTAAACAAATGCAGCATAAACAAAAAGTTACACATCTATACATAATTAAATGCACCACACATCTATGCCTAGTTAAAGCAATACTCTATAAGATAAACAAATGTAACATATCTTTACATAGTTAGATATTCCACAAAATCCATTGACTTTAATTTGTTTTAGATCCAAACCCCAAACTCACAATTGCCCTGCCTTAGCTTCTCCAGTGCTGAGATTTCAGGTCAGCATGCTTACTATGATTTCATTAACTTTTATAGTGAAGATATGGTAAATAAAATGAGGAAACTATAGAAGGTAAAATTGTGATTAAAAAGGAGTGATATAATAAAATATATTCTCTTCTTAGGTAGCAATGCTTACTTATAGTCTCTGTCATAGAAATGAAGTTTTGATCAAAACCAAATTTGTATAAGCATTATTTAAAACAAATCATAGAAATAGTAACACTTACCATACATGGCAACAGACTTTGCCTCTTCTATAGACTGGTGCTTGTCAGTTAACCTCGCTTTAGTTACTTTGTGTTCATTTACTTCTTGTTCTAACCTCTGTTGCAAAGACTTGAGTTTGTAGTTCAAATCTATCTCTAAATTATTCTTTTCCTAAAAAATTAGAATGAGAGCCATGGACTAGAATCAATTCTAAATTGCTCAGTGTTTCACAGGAGATGAACACTTCACCATCCCCCTTCGCTGCCATCCCTCCCCACTGAGCGCATCCCTGCAACTGATGCAGAGGCCCCTCTGCTCTGGTTATGTCAGGACGGTGTCACACTAGAGTCACAAATGAATGCAACAATCTTTCACTTTGCTATTCAATTCTTGCTCTAAATAAAACTTTTTAAAAATATAAGACATTCATCTATATTTATATCTAAATTCACATTTATTTCCCTTTAAAAAATGAAGCATCTTGGAACAAGGCAGTGAAATGTTCAGATGAGAACAGTAAGAATGGATTTCAGTCTTGTGTACGTTTACTCTTCCTTCTTTTTATCCTATTCCTACATTTATACCAGCTTGGCACTGAGCCTGAACCACACAGGGAGCCTGCATGAGTCTGAGCTATGTCCCCTTCATATATGTGTTATGGTTGTGTAGCTTGAGTGTTCTTGTAGGGCTCTTAATATCGGGAGTGGAGGGGTCTCTGTTACCTGCTTTTGGGACCCTTTTTATCCTACTCTTGTTGCCTTATCCAGCCTTGATATGGGGGTTATGTGCCTAGTCTTACTGTAATTTGTTGTGCCATGTTCAGTTGATATATCTGGGAGGCCTGCTCTTTCTGAAAGGAAAAAGAGGAGAACATCTGGGGGAGAGGCAGATGGGGGAAGGGACTAAAAGGAGAGGAAGGGGGGGAAATTGTGACTGGGGACGTAATATATGAGAGAATAGTAACAAAAACAAAAAACCCCTCTGGGATAGAATATGCCAAAGTAGAGGCTTTTAAAATCATTTCTGAGGGAAACAGTGAAAGTTAAGACCCACATCTGTAAAGTAACTGCTTGATCCTCTCCTCAGCAAGGTACTCAGAAGTGACATTTTGATAAAAGTCCAAATAAATTCGAGGGCCAGCAGAATGACCCCAATGGATAAAGACATTTGCCACTAAGCCTGACAACCCCAGTTAGAACCCTGGAACCTATACTTGTCTCCACACAAACCACAAAGCATGATCTTACAGGAAGGAGAGGGAGGGAGGGAGGGATGGGGGGGGAGCACAAGCCAATTCCTTTGGTCTTTTTTATTTTACACACCCCTCCCCTTTTCCCCCTAACAACATGGAAGAAGCATGCATGATCTGTTAGGGTCTAGTCCTTTATTTTCTGTTTTCATACGATTTAACATAGCAAGGATTAATACCTCCCTTTTACCCATGTACAAAGGAACTAGGAAAAATTTCTTTTTTAATGTGCATTGGTGTTTTGCCTGCATGCATGTTGTCTGTATGAGGCAATCGGATTCCCTGGAACTAGAATTACAGACAATTGGGGGCTGCCATGTGGATGCTGGGAATTGAACCTGGGTCCTCTGGAAGAACAGCCAGTGCTTTTACCTGATAAACCATCTTCCAGCCATAGGAACAATTTTCTTATTAAAAATTATTTCCAAATCAAATTACTGTGATTATCCACTAAGCATCCAAAGCTTTTTAGAGTACAAACAAAAATTAGTAACAAGATGCCAAACACATCACACATACATTCCCACATACCAAGAAACCAACCACACAATGAAGTACAAATGCTACAAATGAATGTATAAAACTACCTTATGACCTCTGACAACCAAGCTATAATTAGACAGTAAAGCACTTACCTTTTCTGAGTGATTAAGCATGTCTTGAGCCTCTTTAAATCACTTACCTTTTCTGAGTGATTAAGCATGTCTTGAGCCTCTTTTCTTTCTCCTTCTACCCTTTCAAGATTATGTTTAAGATGTTTCACCTCCTCTTGTAAAGATGTAATTCGTGCTATGAAATGAGGGAAAGGATAAAGCAAAATTAATTTATGGTATTATAAATCAGAATTGTGATTATTTGAGAGTGAGGATTTCTAGGTGCTTGTTTATGTTCAGTTTTGAATTTTTATGTGTATGAGTGTTTTTCCTGCATGTATGTTGTGCCCCATTTGCGTGTGGTGCCCATGGAGACCAGAGAGGGAACTGGGCCCATTGGAATGGGAGTGACATACAGATAGTTCTAAAGAGTCAGGTGGGCGCTGGTGTTTTAACTCTGGTCCTTTTTGCAAGAGCAGCAAGTGTTATTAACTGCTGAACTATCTCTTTAGCCTAGTGGTTCTCAATCTTCCTAATGCTTCAACCCTTTAATACAGTTCCTCATATTGTGGTGGCCTACAACCATAAAATTATTTTCACTGTTACTTTATAACTGTAATTTTGCTGCTGTTATGAGTCGTGATGTAAATATCTGTGCTTTCTGATTGTTTTAGGCCATCCCCATGGAAGAGGGGTTCCCCCCCCCCCCCCCCCAGGCATCACAAACCATAGGCTGAGAACCACTGTCCTAAAAAGACATTTAACCAAGGAAGAACAAGGCCTGTTCACTGAAAACTAAAATTGAAACCCAGGTTCAGAGAAAGATGATTATTGCTTGGTTAGAATTACTTTTAGATGGAAAAAATAGCCCCAATCATTCCCTCCCCCAACCCTCACATCAGCCTCTAAAACAAATGGTGCAGAAACAATTGGGTATCAGATGCTTGATGTCATTACTCATTAGGAATGCTAACAACAAAATGAAGAAAAAACAGAATCCCAACTCCTTGACATGGGAAAATGAAATGGTTCCGCCACTGTAGAAAACAGTTTAGCAATCCCACAAAATCATGGAATTACTACACAACCAAGCAATTTCACACCTAAATTATACATTCAAAAGAACACAGATGGCAAATATTGTAAATTAATGTTCACAACATTGTTATTTACAGTAACAAAAAGGTGAATCTGTAAGCTCTACCAACATAAAAACTGTAGTACAAACAAAACTTAGCCTTTAGTGAGATACTAATACATATTATAAAAATTAAAAAAATATTACATTATACAAAAGAAGCCTCATGCAAAAAAATCACATTACATGATGCCTACAGAAAATATACAGATCAAGTAAATTCAGAGATAAAATCAGTAGCTTCTAGTGGCTACATGAAAGTGGAGAAAATTAGGAAGTTTAATGGGTGAAATGTGTTTAGAAGTTAATGAAATTTAAAAACTAGATAGAGGAGATAGTTGTACAACCTTCTGAATATAATGATGGGCACTGTTTTGAAAAAAAAAAAAAAAAAGACTGTACAACAACCAAATGCTACCAATAAAAAGGCAGACTTCTCCTGCTTCCTTACATTTAACCACTATTAAAGTCTTCTTGTTCAAACCCTACCTGAGACACATTGAGTTACTAGACAGATCGAGCTTCTAGATCTAAATCTCAATGTTCAGTACTATGAGTGTGGGATAATACGTTAAATTATACTGGTGGGTGACAACAGGAAATCCAGAATGGGATATTACGACACTCAAGAGGCAGAGGCAAGCAGATCTCTGTGAGTTCTCAGGCCAGCCAGGGCCACACACTGAGATGGTTTCAGACAAAACAAAACCCCAAACTAGGATTATCTCTTACGTAAAAAATAAAATGAAATAAGCAATAAAAAGGACAAGCATATAGTAAATTATACTATAAACCCTTCTTAACTTTCACTAATATCTAAAAGATTCTGTTAAAAAAACAGTAAGCATGATGATGGTCTCAACTTTGGAAGTAATTAGTTCAAAGCTTGGTCATAAGCAAAAGATAACAAACATTTTTAAGAACTGGAAGAATTTATGGAACTAATCTTTGAGCAATGAGATTTTCACTCAGCTAATTTGCTTTACAAAAAGCAGTGAGGCCAGGCATAATGGTATAGGCCTTTAATCCCAACACTTGGGAGACAGAGGCAGGCAGATCTCTGTGAGTTCGAGGACAGTCTGGTCCTCAAACAGAGTTCCAGGATTGTCAGGACTGTTACACAGAGAAGCTTTGTCTCAAAAAACCATCTCCCCCAATCCCCCAAAATAAAGCACTGAGAAAAACTTGACTTAAACAAGTGTGGAGTTTTCCCAGTAACTACGATGATGCTCCTTCCTTGGTTTTATCTGGATATATTTGAAGCCTGGTGCCTGAGAAATAAAACTGTTCAACTTTCCTCAGTGATGAGCCAATGGGAGCTCCTAATTTCCATTTCTGTAGTCACAAAAACTGACCTGACCTCTCTCCTCAGAATTAAGTTCCATGAGACCCAAAATATGTTCCCTTCCATGACTAAGGTTAAAACATACTCTCCCTATCCTCCAGTCTTTCCTGAGAGGTCTGAAAATTCTCATGTGTGTCTTTTGTGTAGGTAGAGCGTATGTTGCTACTGAAGAGCAACAAAAATCAGGAAAATATACAGGAAGCAAAGGCAGACATCTTTGGAAAACAAATCAAATGGTATTTACCTTTTAAAACTGTTCCTTTTACTCACTATCAGTTATGTTTGATTTGCTTTTTAGTGTCACAAAGAATGCTAATATTTCTAATTCCAACCTTTCCTAGTTCCCTGGGTCTTTTGTAAGGGGTCCTGTTTCCACAACCAAGGAATTCCTGAGATTTAGGAGTAATAACCCTTCTCAGCCTGGATTAAGCGAATTGTGAATAAGACTTAAAACTTAGGCAAGTTTTCCAACCAAATATTCAAAAATTTGGCTATAAAAATTACTTCACAGAAACATCTGTGAAAGGATCACAGCACAACACAAATACAGACACTATGCCAGCTCTATAGAAAGACCACTTCTACTTACACCAAATTGTTTTCTGTGAGAGCAATGATATATAAAAAAAGCCTCATATTAAAAAGTAGCTACATGAGGTGGTCAGTGGTTGCACACACCTTTAATTCCAGCACTCAGGAGGAAGGGGCAGGATATCTCTGTGAGTTCAAGACCAGCCTGGTCTACAAAGTGAGTTCCAGGACAGGCTACAAAGAGAAACTCTATCTCAAAAAACAAAAAAACCAAACCAACCAAACAAACAAAAACAACAAACCACCAAGCATAGCTAAATTATACACTTTATAGATTTTTAAGCACAAGTTAAAGAACAGGACTGGAATTATAGTTTACATGGTAGATTAGCATGACTAAAATCCTAGGTGTGATTCCCTAGCCTACAAAAAATTAAAAACAAAATTTAAAGATAAAAACTGTGTGTTCCACGAGGAACATGGAGTGTCTAGTTCCCAGGCACAGAAAGTAGGATGAGTTACTGTGTAACAGGCAGTTAGTTTGGGATGATAAAAATGATCTGGAGATTCGTGGACAGATAGATAGTAACGTTGAATGTATTTACTGACACTGAAATATACACTTAAAAATGCTTAAACTGGGGGCTGACGAGATAGCTTTGTATATAAAGGGCTTACCATGCAAGCCTGACAACCTGAGATCAAGGGTGGAAAGAACAAGCTACCTCTACCAAGTTTTTCTCTGACCACCCCACCCAGGTGTTGGTGTTGTACTCCTCTGCCCCATGGCAACACATAGCACACTCTACCATGCATCCACACACATCACAATAAGAATAAAACAAAAACTTACAATGGCAAATTATATGTGACATACAGTTTACATGAGAAAAAGTATTACCTTGTAGGTCTCCAATCATCTCAGAATCATGCCCTCTGTCTCTTCGCTCAGCTTCCAATACAGCTTGCAGCTGGTAGTAATCTTTGTCTGCTTGTGACTTGGAATTCTCTAAAATTCTGTTTCTCTCCTGTAATTCTCTGTTCAAGGACTCTAGCTGACTAATTGACTTGCTCATCTCTGTGTGACTCTTCCTTAATCTTACAGCTGTGTCTGATTCTGTCCTAAGTAAGTCATTGGCTTCTTCTAACTATTAAAAAAGAAAAAAAGAATTTTGACCAAACATGATCACATTTCTTTTAATTAACTATAATTTTAAGAGGATCCCACTGAAGAACTTACCTGCTTCTGTAACTGTGCCAGCTTCTCGTTAGCAAGCTGTGAGCTCTGACTCACTTTCCGTAAGTCTTCCAACTGGTCCTTTAGTGTAGAAACTAGGAAGTCAAAGAATATGTAGAAATTACATCCTTTTATTAGAAAAAAACATCTTTTAAAATGAAATTTATTCTTAGACTACAACAATCAGTGAAATTAGGTCCCTTCCCACTACCAAAACCAAACTCTATCTTACAAGTTCTTATATTCTAAATCTGTCAAAAAGTAGAGCATTGCCAGGCAGTAGTGGCACACACCTTTAATACTAGAATTCAATTTGTGAGTTCAAAGCCAATCTGCTCTACAGAGCTAGTTCCAGGACAACCAGGGCTACACAAAGAAACCCTGCCTTGAAAAACAAGCAACAAACAGAACAGAGTTTTTTAATACAGAGTAAAACAGCTAGCTTTGTTTCTGTTACAGTAGTACTCTAAATTCTTTTATGGTCTTCATGGGACCAATCTACTGATGTTAATAATACACAGCTCCTTTTGCTGTTTTTTGTTGTTGTTGTTTGTTTTTTGTTTTTATTCTCTTTGAGATTTGATTTACTATTCCCTGCTGGCTCTTCTCAAACACAAGAGCTCAAGTGACTCTCCTGCCTGAACCTCCTGAGTGTTGAGATATAGGAAAGCACCACATTTAGTTATAAAGCTAGTTTTTTATTTGCTTTTGAACATTATTAATTACTTGAATAATTCAATACTTTTAAAATGTACAAAAATCAAAAGACAGTAAATGGTAGAATAACAAGAATTTTTCCCTTATATCTTCTTTTAATTGGCTTTCTTCCTTCTTAGGACAATCTTGAATCAATATCTTAAGAAGAAACCAAATATATCAAACATACATTTTCACATGCATATCTACTGAAATATATACATATTTAACAACATAAGGAGATGGTTTGTTAAGCTGTATATTTTTATGATTGATAGTTCAATATCTTTGTATCACTAAATACATTATACAGTTATGAGCCCTATATGAAGAGCCTTATGTATATATCATACTGCATACTTATAAGCACATTTATAAAATAATTTAGAAATAAAGTCATTGTTACCAAATGGCTTAAAAAACTTATAGAGAGCTCAGTGTTTGCCTAGATAGTCCAGCATTTTTCAAAATAACAATTTACCTTCATTTTCTACATTTCTTCTCTTCTCATTTTCCTGCTCCATTTTTCTTTGGTATTCATTAATTCTATGTTGTAGCAACATTTTTTCCTTCTCAATTTGAGATACCACAGACTCTAGATTTCTTCTTTGATTCCCCTAGAATCATAACAACAACAGTTACAACCGCAAACAATACTGATAGTTTGCTCTTTAAAAAAATACTTCAGATGAAACCTTAAGATGCTTTTTTTTTTTTTTTGCTTAAAATCAGATTGTATATTCTTTTCAGTTGTGAGTATGTGCATACAGTATATGTGTGAATGCGCGTGTGTGGAGGCAGCAATCGATGTCAGATGCCTTCCTCTATCGTTTCTCCTCTATATCTCGTGAAATATGGTCTCTCACTGAAACTGGCTCACCTGTCTCCATACTGCATTCCCAAACTAAGGTTACAGTAATGTTCAGCCATATCCTGAGCCCCAGGTAGTATACTGAAATGACAACTTTACAGTAACAGATAAAGCATGTCTTATAAAAAGTAAGACACTCCTACTTGAACTAGACACAGACACACTTTCTGTGTTTGAACTACCATCACCAGTATTACCAGTGTCGGCAGGTTTTTGTTGCTTTGTTTTTACATTTAAGACCTGACATCAGGAAACTCTGCTTTACTGTGTACTTTCCCCATCTATAAGTAAACACTATCTTTTATGTAATATATTATCAGATTTTAGAGGTGATACAGATCTCCATAGTATTTCCAGTTCTAAGATTTTGCCATATTAACTTTAAAACTCATTGTATGTGTGGAGGCTGGAGGACAACTCACAGGAACCTATTTTCTCCTGCCACCTTATAAGGTATGGGGGTAGTACTCAGGCTATCAGAGCCTCTGCCTACTGAACCACCTCTTTGAACTTTAAATCCAACTTGAAGCTGGACATGATGGCACTGGCACACACACACACGCACACGCACACGCACACGCACACGCACACACACAATCTCAGTATACAGGAGGTTGTGGTAGGATTTTAAGCATAAATCACCAAGACAAGCTCCTAAAAGCTTTACTCTTTTATATTTATATCTAAATCTACTATTAAGTTAATGGTCACAAGGTATGACACATTAAGGTTCAGATCTTGGCTCACAATTGTTCCAGTACCATTGTTGAAGGATTACACTTACTCTCCCAAAATGCTTTTCCTCTTTGTCAAAGGTCAGTGAGCCATAATTGCAAGAGTGTATTTCTGTTCTTCAATCTGTTTTCCTGATACATTATCATTATCTTTTTATGTGCTGCTGAGATCTATGTTAACATTTTGCTAAGGACTTCCATTTGATAGTGTGCTCTATAATCTGTGATTTGGTAGAAGGTTATCAGTCTAACAAAATGAATTAGGAAGTGTTCTTATTTTGGAGGTGCTGTAAATTATTTAGTGTTCTCTTTAAACTTGGCAGAATTCTCTAGTGAAGTTATGGGGTCACTGAGATTCACATCTTTGTGGGAATGGGGAGTTTTAAATTCATGGATTCACTTTCCGAGTGTTATACACAGCTACTTTACCGATTTCCGTCTTGATAGAGCTTTGCCAGTTCTGCAGATCTTTTCAAACAGGTTCTCTGGTTCTGTCTATTTTCTTCATGTCATTTCCAAAACCTCAGCTTTTACCCTTTTCACAGCTTTTGTTAAGATCAATCATTAGCGACTTTTCTTCTAATATAAGCATGTGTGTTATAAGAGCTTTTGTTAAGATCAATCACTAGCGACTGTTCTTCTAATATAAACACGTGTGTTATAAGCTTTTCTTTAGGCACTTCATATCACAAATTTTAATTTTGTATTTTCATTTAATTATGTAGCTATTCAATGATGAAAAGCTTCAACTTTCTTTTTTAACATAGAAGCTTAAAGATATCAACATACCAATGTATTTTTCATCCTTTTTCAGAGTGTTTCTTTTCCTCTTTTGACTTTCTGTGTTCAATGTTCTTGTTATCTGCTACTCATTACATTTGGTCAGGACACACTATCATTCTGATTCTTTTAAGTTTACTCTATGGCTCAGGATAAGATCTGCCTTGGCTATGAAGTCTACTCTTGGCTTTTGGGGGACGGGGGAGAGGAGACCCATAGTATTCCCACTATTTATTTTATTTTCTGAGACAGGGTCTAATGAGTTCCGGGCTAGCCCTGAACTTGCTGTACATCTGAAGACGACCTTCAACTTTTGTTCCTCGAGCTTCCATTTCCCAGGCATTAGGATTACAGGCATGTGCATCCCTCCTGTATGAGATCCTGAGTACTGAACTCATGCCACACCAGCACTCCATAAACCACAGCTTCAGCCCCACATCCGTGGTTTTTCTTAGGAATCAAGAAAGATCTGCTTTCTTCACACCTTTCAGATCTCTTTACATTTGTTTTACATTTAATGTATAGGGGATTTAGCTGTGTTTAGTGGTAAGAAGAGGGAACAGTACTTTCACTTTGCCCCTCTTTAAGTAGTATTAAGCTAATTTAGTAATTAAGATCTTCCTCCCATTCTTGAATTTAGAAAGATAAGTAACTTCAACCTAGTTTATCTGAATTTAGGACTGATTCTGAAAACACTCAAAATGAAAAAATACAGTGCTAAGTAAGACTAAGTTCATACTGACCTGTGGCTAATGGAAAAATGCTGTCAATAAATCTTTAGATGACTACATTTATGTCCTAAGACACAAGTTAAAGGGAAAAATATCACTAACAGATACAATTACAGCCAGGCAGAAGCAGGTGGCTACAGGACAGCCAGGACTGTTGCACAAAGAAACTCTGTCTTGAAAAAAAGCAACAACAAAAAAATCCCAAACAAACAAACAAAAGCCCAAACAAATACCGTTACCTCAGGGAAGAAAAAGAGAACAAAGATTAAATCTAAAAAAGGAAATTATACAACTATACATTAGAAGAATACTATCAAAATTGTCTATTTCTGCCTAAGAAAGTGATCACACACATTAGAAGGCTAAGAATAAAAATGTATTATATATTTGTATAAAATAATATCTATCTGCTAATAAAACCAGGCTGGAAGGAAAAACATGAATACTTATAAAACCAATTCTAAGCCCTATTGGTCATGTGGTATCATGTCTATATCAATCATTTCAAATTATTTTATGTTTTTCTTCTCAATCTGCCTCTTTTTGACATAGTTGCAGCTTTTATTTTTTTTTTTTTTACTGGGTTTGTCAAGACAGGGTTTCTCTGTCAAACAGTCCTGGAACACACTTTGTAGACCAGGCTGGCCTCAAACTGAGATCCACCTGCCTCTGCCTCCCACGTACTGGGATTAAAGACGTCTGCCACCATCACTGGGCACAGCTTCTATTTTTAATCTCTTGCTTCTTTTTGCTTTTCAGTTATCAAGAACCACAAAACTGAAATCTATGTACTAAACTTTCAACAAGGTCACAGAAGAAAGAATAAAGGAAACTAAAGTATAATCTGTATACTGGAACCTAGAGTCTAAGGTAAAATTTTCATCTTAATTTTCTGGTTATGTCTTTATGATTTCAAATAAGATTTTCACTAGAAATGAACTAATGTGAGAGAAGAAAAGAGAAGAAAAAATACTTAGTAAACTAAAAAGTACCTCTTCGTCCAATTCTTTCATTATCTTGTCTAGTTTTATGTTTGAAGTTCTGCAAAAACAAAAAAAATACTGATTATAGATATATTTACTTTCATTACCCAGTTTTAACACCTATTCTTTACTTTTTTCACTTGATTTTCTTAAAAATCTCTCTCTCTCTCTCTCTCTCTCTCTCTCTCTCTCTCTGTGTGTGTGTGTGTGTGTGTGTGTGTGTGTGTGTGTGTGTGTGTGTGTGTGTGTGTGTTTGTTGTGTGATCTCTTGGCTGTCTGATGAAGACATCTGCTTCTGTGGAACAATGAATGAATGAATGAATGAATGAATGAATGTATCCATCCATCCATCCATCCATCCATCCATCCATCCATCCATCCATCTTGGTTTTTCAAGATAAGAGTTTCTCTGTGGCTTTAAGAGTCTATCCTGGAACTCACTCTGTAGTGATCTGTGGATTACGCTGGCCTCGAGGCCACAATTTGTTTTCTTTGGCTCTAATCACAGTTTTGACCTTCTAACATAGTGGGAATCAACCTGTGAATCACAACCCCATTGGGGGTTGCATATCAGGAATCCTTCATATCAGATACTTACTTTACAATTCATGTCAGTAGCAAAATTACAGCTATCAAGTAGCAGCAAAATAATTTTAAGGTTGGGAGTCACCACAACATTAGGAACTGTATTAAGAGGTTACAATATTAGGAAGGTTGAGAACCTCTGTTCTACACATACTGTATATGTAATATGCTCATGTGAATATCTCAAATACCTCATTCCACACATGCAAAACTAACCTGTCCTATACAGCTCCCTTCAATATTAATTTGCTTTTCTTCTAGAATGTCCAAATAGTTTATATCAGCCAGGAATTATCCCTGACTCATCTTCCCTTTTTGTTTTTTAATCAATTAAGTGAAAAATAAAAGGCCAACCAAATAATTAGGGAGTTGTTTTCAATCTGTAGGTGTGCATGTTTGTGGGCCCCTGTGTGCAGATACATAGATGTAGAGGCCTGAAACTGACATTAAGTATTTTCCTTGATTATGTTCCACTTTTTTACTAAGGCAGCCTGGAAAATTTGGAACTTGTCAATTTGGCCCAGTCTAGCTAGCCAGTTTGCCTAGAAGGATCCATCTCTACTCTGCCTACAGAGAACTGGAATTACCAGTAGCTATCATGCCCACCTGGCCTAAAAGCCAGTGGATGATGGTGAACCATTTCTCACCTCTTTAATGACTTTTAGTGTATTTCCACAATACTTAAGGTAAATTACAAATCCCTTATCTTGTCAACAACAACAAACAAAAGTCCATTAATATTCTGAGCTTGCATATTTGCCCCGCCCATCTCTGACTTTTCTTCTCATCTAACACACATGAAGTCCCCTTACAACAAGGCCTCTACATACGTATAATTCCTGGACTTTAATACTTTCTTTTCCTCTTCTCACTCATTGAGGTTATATATTGTTTATGACTTAATAAAGCCACAGTTAGCCACAGCCATAGCCCTAGAGCTAGGCGTTGGTGGCACACACCTTTAATCCCACGACTCAGGAGACAGGCAGATGGTTCTCTGAGTTCAAGGCCACCCAGGGCTACACAAGAGTAAATCATCCAAAAAAGAATAACAACTTACACCTTTAATGCCAGCACTAGGTAGGTATATAAGGTATATAAGGCAAAGTCAGTCTCCAGCCATGTTGAGGAGACAGCATGGCAGTCTAGGACTCTGTGGCTTGGTAGAAAACAGTGCAGTCTGGAGGTGCAATCTAAGTTTCAGTAGACCGATCATTTGGCCTGAGCATTGGTAGAGGTGAGAACTCTCTAGTGGCCAGTTGCTTTGCTTTTCTGATGTTCAGCTTGAACACATATCTGTCTCTGGGTTTTTGTTATTTATGCTATGCCCAACTTTCTGGCTCTGGTCTTTAAAAACACCCAACAAAGTGTAAGTATCTCCTGATATAATCCTCATTTTTTTTTTTTTTTATCTTTTTGGGTTTTTGAGGGGAGCAGGCATGGTTATGTATGTATATAAAAACCGAGGTTAGCCTTGAACTTGTGACCTTCCTGCTCCACCTCCTCAATGTTGGGATTAGAGGGCCTCCAAATATTGCATGCTTCTAATTTACTCCTGAATCATTTTATTCTCCCTAATTTACCATATATTATACTGATTTATAATTATCTACATTATTTTCCCTGATGTTTACAAATTCTACATAAGCAGGGGCTATATCGTCTTTTATTTGGTACTATATTGTTGGTATGGACATTATTTGACACAAACTAAAATCTTTGTTGAACAAATGTAATTAAAATTATTTGAGTGCCTGTGTTAAAAAAAAACTTTTAACCCTCTTGCCTCAGCCTACTATGGGCTGATTAAAATCGGTCATTTCTATTTCTTGAGGTTATACATTTTTTATATGATTATTATCCATTTGTGGCTATTCTGATATCTCCCCTAAACCCCTTATTACCAACACCACCAGTTACTTTGGAAATTTTCTTAAAATTTTGAAGATTTATTTTATTTTAAAATATGTGTACATGTATGCCTATGGGCAAGGTATGTACACACTTGAGCGCAGATAACCATGGAGTCCGGGAGAGGTGTTGGATCCCCTGGAGCTGGACTTATGGGTGGTTGTGAATCATTTCACACAGCTGCTGCAAGAGCAGTAAGCATTCTTAACTGTTGAGCTATCTTTCCTGCCCCTAGGTTTTGTTTGTTTGTTTGTTTTGACGCAGGAACTTCTTAGTATTTATGTAAGTTTGAATCTATTCCTTTCCTCTTTCTACTCTTTACTCTTATAAACTTGTTCCAAATCTTGACTTCAGTTTAAATTTTAAAATTACACACTTAATTATATAATGTACCAGGAAAGGTAGGCAGAGAAAAATCTTAATTATTTACTATGCCTCCAGCACTTTCAACTTTTCCCAATTCCATTTATTGAATACAGTATCTGTTATAATTATATTTCACTTATTCAGTAAGTCATGAAATGTAATTATAAAGTTATTATATGTAGTTAACAAGTACCAACATTATGGTTATTTTAAAATACCTTGATCATCCTTTGAATATTTCAATGGTTCTCAACCTTCCTAATGCTGTGACCCTTTAATACAGTTCCTCATGTTGTGGTAGCTCCCAACCATAATATTATTTTCATTGCTACTTCATAAATGTAATTTTGCTACTGTTTTGAATTGTAACGTAAATATCTGATATGCAGAATGGTTTTAGGTGAACCCTGTGAAGGATTGTTTGATCCCTAAAGGAGTCGTGATTCACAAGATGAAAACCACTGCTCTATATCATAAATATATGTTATCAATAGAATTTGATTCAACCAGGAAAAAGAAAACCAAAAAATTATGTTCTAGAAAAATCTCAGTGGAAGTATGATAGTCATTTTAGGTTAGAACATTATTTTGCACTTCAGAAAGCCCCTTCAATTAGCTAGTTAAATCAGGAGGGAAACATAACAAATGAGGCAACTAAACGAATGAAAACTAAGCACACTTTTTAAAAGCTACCATAGCAAATAGAGCTTAAACAGTCTGAAGAAAACATATGTAACTAACAGGAACACAAGTGTTTCCTTTTTTTTTTTTTTTTTTTGCAGTGCTGGGAATCAAATCCAGGGCCATTGAATGCAAAGCACCCACTCTACTGTAATTTTACATTCCAAGTCATTAATACCACTTACAGTTCTAGCCAAGACACATTTTTATAGACGTGCATAAATATCAACTTTAACATCCCATCTTATATATACCTCCAGGTGTTTACAGAGTATATTGTATGTTCTAAAATATAAAATATGTACATAACTCCTAATGAGAACATCATTGAGGGACAGTCTCACCTGCACTTCTGCTCCATTTCATCTTTTAGTTGCATTTCATTATGCAGTTGTTCTTCAAGCTTGTAGATTGTTTTCTGTAAACTTTCCTGCTTTAAAAAACAAACAAAAAAACCCTTCATTCTGTTAATGTCTACAGAAATTAAAAGTAACACCTTTTGTTACTATTGTATAGCTATTTGGAATATGGCTATTTAGTTTAATCCTTTATCTTTCTCAACAATATTAAGTGGTATTGTCTCAATACACTTGGGCATAATTCATATGTATATCAAAACACTATTATTCTAGGGCTAGGAATTAGTTCATTAGGAAGTACTTGCTACACAAGCACCTACATAAGAAGCTGGGCATGACTGCACATGGTTGCAATCCCACTGCTAAACAGGGAGGGTGAAGACAAGATGACCTTAGTCAATCAGTGAACTCTAGTGAAGTACCCTGAATCAAAGAATAAGGTAGACAGTAATAGAAGATACTGGATCTGATCTCTGGATCTGATCTCTTCACATACACATATGCAACACATGCACATATGCACACACCCCAATTTAACTAGTAAGATGAATAGTTAAAGGGCAGCAGACTAGGAAGAAAGTATCCAGGTAAGAAGCTATTGAAACAATTCAGGTGTGGGTATGTAGCAAAACCCTGGCTCTAAGCATGAAGAGTATGTTAGTTAGAAGATAGATCTAGAAAGCAAGAATTAAACAAAACAAAACAAAACAAAACAAACAAAAAACAGAGATATTACTATTACAAAAGGCAAGAAATCTAGAACATTGTCAGTGAAGGTTTGGACAGAGGAAGATTGTCAGTTTAACTCTGGTCTAGTCTTATGTGTCTGCGAAGTACCCAGGAAGATAGATTCAGGTGTGGAGCTAAGAGAAATAAAATGGGCATTCATGTGAGTCTATGGATACAAACACTATGGGAAACATTTAATATTAGTTGAGCAGTGAAAGGGGCTAAAAATTTAAAAAGTCATGAAAACAAGAGGAATTAAATTAATTACTAAAATTACAATGGTAAATGCAACAAAAAATAAGGAAAGTCAGTATCTAAAGCAGTAAGAAAAATTTTGTTCATTATATTTGGCCTCACAATGTGCATCTCAGCTACAACTTTCAAGGAGATTTGGTCATTAAATCAGATTTTTGTACACAGTTTTAGGCTAACATAAATTGTACTGCAAAGGAATAGTGATAACCAAAGACATCAGCCACTAGTGGAAATTTACACAATCACAACAAAACAAAACAAAACACAGAATAACCACAAAACAAAACAATCCAGAATATCCAAATAAATCAACTGAAGATTTACTCAAGTACTAGTTAACTTACATCCTAGAGAAAATCCAGGAAGTACAAGATTACAAAAAAATTTTTTGTTATTTTCCCTAGGAAGTAGTATTTTCATTTTAATAATTTTTGGGCTCCTTTTAGCTATATATTTTGCCAACAGTTTTTGGAATGAAAATTCAAAAGCCCACAGATTTGAAAGAAAACAAGGATGGGCATCATGAGAGGACAGGAATCAAGGGAAAGGAAGGAGGGAAGGTTGTAATTATAATTTTCAAAAATAAAGTGATTTTAAAAATGTTTAGAAAAAAAGCCCAAAAGAAAAAAGTGATGAGTGTCTAGAGAGATGGCTCAGTGGCTAAGAGCACTTACTGCTCTTCTGGAGGGTCTCAGTTCAATTCCCAGCATTCATTATCAAGTAGTTCACAAATGCCTGTAACTCCAGCTCCAGGGTATCCTGCACCCTTTTCTGACCTGTAAAGGTGCGAGCGCGCGCGCGCGCGCGCGCGCGCGCACACACACACACACACACACACACACACACACACACACTTTGGTTTTTTTTAAAATGACTAGTTCCTTTCCCCTTTTCTCATTTTTTAAAAAATCATATGTTTTCTTACATTAAGAGAAAATACATCAAAAGGAAAACAACTGTAACTGCTTTTTAAAAAATGGCTGCTGGCACTTCAGAGGTGGAATCAGAAAATTTATAATTCAAGGTCATCATAGATAGTATCATAGCTTAGGAAGGCTTCTATCTCAAAAAACCAAACCAAGTAAAAACTAAATATGTATCATTGGGGAAATGGCTCAGATGCACTGGGATGCATGAAATCCTGGCTTCTATTCCCCAGTATCACATACAGTGCATGTAAGTGACCCATACCTGTAATATCATCACTTGGGATTAAGGGGTACAAGGCTCAAGTTCATGGTCATCTTTAACTAGACACCGAGTCTGAGGCCAGTAAGAGCTACATAGTACCTTCCCTTAATACTCTTACAGAGCACCAGAGTTCAGTTCCTAGCACCCATATCAGGGAGCTCACAACCACCTGTAGATCTAGTTCCAGGTGACCTGAGGCTCACTCCCTCCTGTCTTCCACAGGTATTTGTGCTCACATAGTGTACCCAACATACACCAGGCACACACACATATGCATAAAAATGTTCAATCTTGAAAAACATGTAAAAACAATTTAAAAAATAATTGCTACTCCTTTGCTTCTTGTTAAAAGCATAAGCAAAATGATGAAGAAGATATAACTCAGTGGTCAAGCTTATAAGACACTGGCTTTAATCCCAGTATCAGAAAATGCCCAAAGTCCAACACAAAAGTAAACAAAAAGTGTCCTATGTAAATAAGGTATTTTAAGAATGCTTTAAGAATAACAATTACTCCTAAAAGTAGGAATTTTCCCCAGCAAAGTCCTATTTAACTAAAAAGGGTCCTTTTAAATTTAAGGAAGGAAGGCTTGTTTTTTAGCCACATGAACACCAGAAAGAATTTCTAACTAGAACACACCAAGTTCCTTAATAATATACTTATGTATATCATACAGTCCTAATTCCAAAGAATCAACAATTACGTTACGCTGAAACTACCGATTATTCTCTATTTCTCCAACTCCCTTTCAGTCTTAAAAATATACCACTGTGGTGATATTCTGTTTATGATCTAATAAAGCTTGCCTGAAGATCAGAATACACAGCTAGCCACAGCCATAGAGGCCAGGCAGTGGTGGTACACAACTTTAATCCCAGCAGCCATACTAGGTTAGCCATAGATGGTGGGCAGTGGTGGTGCACGCACGCTTTTGATCCCAGAACTAGAGAGGTATAAGACAGGAGCTTAGGGTCTCAGTTTATATTCAATCTGCAGTCACACTGACGACAGGATCGCCCAGGCCTTGGTAGAGGCAAGAACTCCCTGGTGACTGGCTGCTTTGCTTTTCTGATCTTCATCTTGAACCCCAATATCTGTCTACGGGCTTTTATTTTTCATGCTACATAACACCTTCTACTTTTGCCATAAAACCTACAAGCTACATTACCTGGATCTGCTGTGTTATGATTAGTCTCAGAATACAAGGGAAAATAAGAAAGCTGGGGATATGAAGTTTGTCTCCCAATACTCTTCTTTGTTATGCTTGGTGTTCTATATTCTGCGTTCCTCTTCTATTATGCCAGGCTTTCTAGGAGCTATAGCAACACAATTCTCTCTCCTTCCTCCCAGCAGTATAGGAGCAATGGCTTTCCTCTGCTGTTAGTCCAAAAGTTTCCTTTTGATACAGCCAGGTTAACCTGGAACCCCACATATCCAAAACTGGCTTTGAATTTGTGATCCTCCCCTGCTCAGCTTCCAGTGTATTAAAATTACAGCCATGTACCATTATGCTCAATCTCCAATTTCCTTAATGACAAAATGGTTTCTCATACATTCCTAATTCAAAGATTTAAAGGATAATAATTGCCAATCAGTAACAATTTATAACTTACTTTCTATTCATATATATGTGTGGTCCACAAGCGAGTTCCAGGACAGCAAGGGCTAAGTGAGAAACGCTGTCTCCAACAGGCAAACGAACGAATGTCATAAATATATAAACTCACTAACTGCACATCATAAGCAGTACATACGCTTACTCAATAGCATGCATACAACTACATTATCTGTGAATTTAAAAATAAATACCAGACTGACAGCAAGAAATACCTACCAAGCTTTTATCCACACTGGAGCTGGTTCTATTTTCACTGGCATTAGCTGAAGGTAAGTATCTACAGGGTACAGGGTAAGGAATTAAAAACAACAACAACAACCCACCTTTTCAATATTTACAGACAAACAAAAAGTATGCTGTGCTTGTTTTATGCTCAGTATTATACTAGCTAATTTTAAAAAATTAAGTACAAGCTTAATTTTTATTTTAGAAACAGACATATAAGTTAAATAGTTCTTAAGCAAATACTGTGATTATAAAACATTTTATAGGAAAATATATCAATATTTATACTGTATAAAATAGAATGAAAATAAAAACTTGCCAAATTTTAAATATACTTAAATGAAAACATAGTAATGATACAGCAACATCAAGAAACAAAGTGGTATTTATTACACAAAGTATTCCAATAGTTGCTGTTAAAATTCAAAGAAATCACAACTTCAGTGTGTTTCTTCTAATTTTGCTTTTAACTCCATCCAGGCTTTGAACTTTTATGTGTTTTTTTTTTTAATTTTTTATTTTTAATTCTTCACTCAGTATCTTGAGAAAGAGAATTCTAAATGTTCTTAAAACATTAGCAACACACTTTAGGCTCTCCCACAGATTTCTATATTTTAGATTTGCTACAAAATAGCACTAATAAAAGTGCATAGAACCAGGCAGCTCCATAGTACAGATATGATTACTAAAAATGTTACCAATATTGTATTTACTTCATTTTACTGAACATTCACATACTATACAAAATGCTTAGACATTTTAGAAAAGCAGTCAAAGTTATTTCCTAACATTATAACCTAAATAATATAACAAATAAAATCAGACTTTAGGAAAACCTATCCAGATCTCCTGTGTACATATGCCAACATAAGTATTACAGTATTATGTAATTGCCAGAAGGAAGGAGTTAAATAGTAGGCTTTTCTATGATGAAAGCTCAGGTGTCACTGGTGCTGTACATACACCCAGTGTTGTTCTAAGTAAATCCCTGGAGAATTGGGTTTAGGAGGCAGGGCTACAGTGCCCTCTTGTTTTCTATCTACAATAGACCAAATCCCTCACTATGAAAATTTGGACAAAAATGATAAGACTCTTTAAAGTAAAATTAGCTATAATTAAAATTTAGTAATCATGCTACATATTTAAAACCACACCATGAAGAATAAATTGATGAAAACAAAAGTTTGAAGTAATGAACAACAATGATGTGCAGATTTAAACCAGAAGATTTGTCATGTGCTTTGTTTGCCTGGTACTGGTCTAGCACTTTGTTTCTATTGAGTAGAACTTATTAACTTATATTGTACAGATCATCCATTTTCTCACTGGATATGCACCGTATCTTATAATGTACCATAGTATGGATCATACATGTGATAAAGAGCAAGATATCAAATATATTCGTTGAATGGATGAATGCCCAGCACAATGAAATAATGTCAAAGGTTAAGCTTATGCCTTAAGTACATGTAAAGCTATGTCTATCAGGTACTAACAGCAGATGGTACCAGTGGTCATAAGAGCTAACACTGAGTGCTCACTCCATGCAAAGCACAGCTGTGCTTTACTACAATTTTATTCATGTAGCCCTTAAACAATTAAGAATTATGCAGGAGCCACTGCTATCATTATTGTTATCCCTATTTTCTGGGGACTGAATCATTAAAGGTTACAGTTATTTGTCCAACATTACACAATAGGTACTATTTGATGTTACATCATTCATGGGAATGGTCACTCAATATTTTTTCTTTTGGAGGAAACAATTTTTCAAGAACTAATTATGATGGGCTTTTAGTAGCATCAATATGGTGAAGAAATGTCTTATGTTGTTCCAAAATTTTTGAGCCATAACTCTTTAAATAAAAATAGTGACTGAATTATCAGTACTAACAGTATTGTTTCATCTGTTATTTTTCACTTTAAGATATGCTACATAGGGGCTGGAGAGATGGCTCAGAGGTTAAGAGCACCGACTGCTCTTCCAGAGGTCCTGAGTTAAATTCCCAGCAACCACATGGTGGCTCACAACCATCCATTATGAGATCTGGTGCCCTCTTCTGGTGTGCAGATATACATGGAAGCAAAATGTTGTATATATAATAAATAAATAAGTCTTTAAAAAATATATATGTTACATAATTCAATATAGATTTTCCTGAAAAACTATATTCTGAACACGAATGAGATTTAACAATATGTAGATGTCTTAAGAAATTTTGTGAATATAAAAAATTATCACTTACCCCTAAATTACTGCTTAGTATACTTACCTACGATTGCTATAATATGTAAATCCTACAAAAGGTAGTTGATTGCCAACAAAAGCTTTAGGAATAGGAAATGTTTCTTCATCTCCTTTGTCTTCTTCCAAGTCATCAAAATTACTGGTATCAATGTCACTACTTAAATCAGGTACAACTGGTGCTACAGCTAAAAGCAGAAAGAAAGTAGTTGTTCTTTTCAAACTTAGTATACAAATATTGTGGATCAGAGATCTACATCAGCTCAGCACAGTAGCATGTGCCTAGTCCCAGCTACTCAAGAGGTTGTCAGGAGTGCTTCAGCTCAGAAGTTCAAGGATACTGAGCAACAAAACAGACTTCATCTAAAGCAAGTAAACAGAATTCCACACTAAATACTGATGGCTTCTTGTTTCTAAATAACTTGTGAACCCTAACATAAGATGCATTAAATTCTATAATACTAAGATTTACTAGAATTCAAAATTAAATGAAAATGATTATACACTCAGTTACTTATGCTTCAAGATTAAGTTGAATGCTGCAAGCAATTAAGATTTGCTACAGAACACAACAAAGTATACTTTTTTTAAAAAAAAGGTTTAATTGCTGAATAGTTTTTTTTTAAGTTGTTAATCTGTCATGCAGAAAACCAGAAATAAAAGTTATTTCTTAGTTGTCCTAGAAATAGAAGATGTAGGAAATCATTCATGATGGGATAAAGTTAAAGGGCACCTAAATAACAATGTAAAACCCTAGGAACTGTTTAAATATTCATAATACAAGAGAAAATACCACAAGAAATTAATGTTCCTAATGTCTTCTGGAGCTTGACTATGATACTAAAGTATAAAATCTTTAGTGTAAAGACAGAGCAGCCAAGAAAATACTGGATCATTACATTTGACACAATTATTTCACTTTCTTTAGAGAAAAAGATGAATGTGAGCAAAACCAACTGATCTTCTTTCATGGACTTTCTTATATAAAGGAGCTATTTTTTTCTTCTGAATCACTGGGATTCAGGCAAGAAAAATATTTATCAAGTTCAACCTTAGGCAATAGAACTATTTGGCCAATTTGCAGGAAAATGGATGGAACTAAAAGAAACCATTCTGAGTGTGGTAACCCAATTACAAAAAGACAAACATGATATGTACTCACTCATATGTGGATTTTAAACATAGTAAAGGATTACCAGCCTACAATCCACACTGCCAGAGAAGCTAGTTGGAGGACCCTAAGAGAGACATACAGGTCCCCTTTAGAAGGGGAAAGGGTCATGATCCCCTGAACAAATTGAGAGCACAGGAAGAGGGGGGAGGGAGCTACGAGAATGAGAAGGGAAGAAGAGGAAGGATGCAGAGGTCATGAGGGAGCAGAAAGGTTGAGTCAGGGGAAGAATAGAAGAAAGGGTATGAGATAGGTAGGGTTTTAGTTGGGGGGTGGTAGGGGAGGAAGAGAGGGAGAAGGGAACTGGGATTGGCATGTAAAACAGTCTTGTTTCTAATTCATATAAAAATAATAAAAAAAAAACTATTTGGCCAATTTTGGAACAAAGCCAACAAGTTAGTCCAATAAAGCCATAACATTAACTAACAGTAACAACAAAGGGGGAAGGAGGGGCCTTTCTACCACTCACTTTCATGGTCAAAAGAATTTCCTAATTAGATAATGTCATCATCCCAGTAATAGCAACTGTCTGATTTGCAAAGTGAGGAATAAATTATGGTCTTGGCAAAACTAATCATAAATCAATCAACCAATCTTTCTTTTTTTCTTTCTTTCCTTCCTTTTTAGAGTCCTACTGTGAAGCTTCGTCTGGCCTTAAACTTACTGAGACTTGCCTGCCTCTGCCTCCTGAGTGCTTGGAATTAAATTTGTGAACCACCACACCTGGCAAATTTACTTTTTAAAACAATAGCTTTCAATCTGAACTTTTTTTGTCCACTGAAATAACAGTTGACAATGTACACAACTGCAGCTATCATGAATAGAGGGAGAAATGCTATTGGCATCTGAGTCCATGAATACTGTTAAACAGCTTTATAATGCTAAGGACAACAGGCTCTGCTCCCATGTCCACAAAACAGATTTATCTAGTCAACTGCTAAAGCTAAAAAAACTTTTTAAAATTATCATGTAGTCAGGAGAGGGCCTAGGCCCTGGTCCAAATTACGTGACAGACTTTGAAGATACCCCATGGAAGGCCTCACCCTCCCTGGGGAGCATAAAGGAGATGGGTTAAGGGGTTAGTGGAGGGTAGGGGAGGAGAGGAGGGAGAGGGAACTGGGACTGACATGGAAAACAAGCTTGTTTCTAATTTAAATAAAAATTAGAAAAGAAAAGAAAATGTGCCAGGTGTGGTGGTATACACCTTTAACCCCAGAACTCAGGAAGCTGAGGCAGGAGGATCTCTAAGTTCAAGTTCAACAAAGTAAGTTCCAGGACAGCCAGGATGACAAAGAGAAACCCTGCTCAAAACAAAACTATAAAACTTGGGGCTGGAGAGATGAAGTTAAGAGCACTTGTTACTCCTGCAGAGGACCTAGGTTTGGTTCCCAACTCCTACACAGGGGCTCACAACAACCCATAACTCCAGCACCAGGGGAATAATCCAATGCCCTCTGACCTCCACAGGCACTAAATGGTGCAGATGTGCATGCACTCATACATATAAATTAAAATATTTAATATTTAATATTTTAAAATGGAAAAAATATCATATAGGAATATTTTAAAGAAGCCAACAAATGTGCCGTATTTTCTCTTGCTGTTATCAGTGTACTTGGTTTTCCTTTTGATTATTAAAAATATTTTATTATACTTATGTGTGCATACATGCCCATGGCATAGCATGGCATATTATGGAGGTCAGAAGACAACTTGTAGGTAGGTAGATCCTGGTTTAAAATTCAAGGATCAGCCTTTGGTAGCAAGCAACTTTACCTACTGAGCCACCTTACCTGCCCATCAGAGTAGTTTTAAATGTGTCAAGGTTTTTCTGCTATTTTTTAAAAACTGTTGAGATGTAAGTGAAGACATCCTGGGAGAGGTCTAAAATCTCTCTTCAGAGTTGAGATGTTTAGACTGTCTGTGTATAGTGCCACCCAATCACATGAGAAATAGTGGCTTATTGTCAACAGTATTTAATTATAAACAGGCTTTGTTAACAAATAACCAATAGCTGGGCGGTGGTGGCACACACCTTTAATCACAGCACTAGGGAAGCAGAGACAGGTGGATCTCTGTGAGTTCAAGGCCAGCCTGGTCTACATAACACCTTCCAGGATAGGCTCCAAAGGAACAGAGAAACCCAGCCTCAAAAAACCAAAAAAGGAAAATAAACAAACAGCCAGCCAATAACCTGGTGAGCATCAACAAAACTAACAGGGAATCCCCAAAACACCTCTCTCTACTGAAGTAAAGGTTTCTTAGCAAAAACTGTCAGAAGCAACTTTCTTAACCATATGATCTAATAAACACCTTAAAACAAGCAGGGGATGTTTTAAAAAGAGAGGGACTTGTGGACCCAAAGAGATGGCTCAGCAGTTAAGAGTACTTGCTGCTCTTGCAGAAGACCCAAGTTCTGTCTCCAGCACCTTCATCAAGTGGCTCACAATCACTTTTAGCTCCAGTTCCAGGGGAGCTGATGCCCTCTTCTGGCTTTTGTTAATGCTTATTTACATGCATGTGGTATGCATACATACACACAGGTGAACACACATACACATAAATTAATAAAATCAAAATAAAGGTAAGAAAAAAAAAAAAACAGGTGCTCACAATTTTGTGTTTCAGGAAATTTCTGTAATTGGCTAACAGAACAGAGACCATAGACAGGGGACATGAACTTTATAAAATGAGTTTGGACAGTCAATGCCCACAGGCAACAATAACCAACAATCCTTAAAGGACTAGTCTAATTTCAGAGCTAACATTGTAACATTCAAAATGTCAGACTCCTGACAAAAAAATTACAAGGCATACATGTGTATTTTTAAAGCAATATATGGTTCATTCACAGGGCATTTTTGAAAAAAAAAATGTTAAAAATCATCATTGAAAAATCCGAGACATCTCAATTACTAAATACAATTTTATAAGAACCATACAGAAGCAGGAGAATGATGCCTTAACTATCAGGAAATAGAAAAAGGAACCAAATAGAAATTCTGGCAGTAACCAGGCGGTGATGGCACACATTTAATCCCAGAACTCGGGAGGCAGAGGTGGGTGGATCTCTATGAGTTCGAGACCAGCCTGATCTACAAGAGCTAGTTCCAGGACAGCCTCCAAAGCAACACAGAGAAACCCTGTCCCGAAAAACCAAATAAATAAATAAATAAATAAATTCTGGCAGTGAAATGAAAAAGTAAGCAGAGCCTAAAGGAACTGTGGCACACCATCAACTGGACATGTACATCCTAATAGTTCTGGCAGGAAAAGGAGAAAAAGAGGCAGGAAAAATAGTTAAAGAAATAAAGTCCAGAACTCCCCAAATCTGATAAAATACATGAATTTAAATATCTAGGGAACTGAATACAAATAAAGGAAGCCTCCAAAAGACCCACATGAAGATGCACAGAGTCAAAGGTGTAATCAGTTATATGATTAAAAAAAGGAAAGATAACCACATAGATTAATATAAAAGCCAGGATTATTTACTAACGACCTAGTTTTTACTCATGAGACTTTTAAAAATGCATAGAATAATAATTAGAAATAAAAGCTGAACCAATTAAAAGTAGGGAAAAGAAAAAATTATATAGATGGCCACACATAAAGGTGTTTAACATCAGTAGTCATTAGGAAGCTGCAAACCAAAGCCACTATGAGCGGCATCAGAGTGGGTAACGATCCATTCTTCAAAAACACGGAAATGCAAATGGTTCTTAAATTCCACGTTGTGATACTCAAGACTGAAGATTTCTGCAAGCATCTATATATACTCTGCAAGGTATAAAATAGCTATAATGTAACATAATAAATATATTTCTATACTAACATTAGTCGAGGAATAGCTGGACAGTGGAGAAATCTAAATATTTAATGACTGATAAATGGGTTTAACAAAATGTGGCATACATACTAACAATGGAAACCATGACTGACATTGCAACATAGATGAGACAGGTAGATATCAGCTAGGTCAAACAAGCCTGCAATAGAAAGGTAAATACTATGGTGTTCTACTTAAATAAGGGTATCTCTTGTATAATCAAATTCATAGAGACAGAAAGTTATACATTTCTTAATGTGGGTCAACTGGAGAAAGAAGAAAGGACATTAGATTTAATGAATAAAGATTCTTAATTTGGAATGATAGTTTTGGAGATTCACAATGATGATGTTGTATGTCAATGTGAATATATTTAATGCTGATACAAGTTAAATATGACTAAAGTAAAGGATTTTGTCATGCCCACTCTACTCCTTCAAAGGAAAAATACTTATTTAAAACAAAAATGAATCCATTACAATGTCAACAAAGTCTAACGGATCATGTACTTCCACACAAAAGTTTACTGTCAACATGTTGAAGCCTTATTTTTCTGTAAGTATTATTAAATAGGAGAAAAATCTTTAAATAGAACAAAATATTAAAATGATCAAAGGCTGGAAAATCACACAGATGTAGATTTGAATCCCTGCATTGCCAATGGCTTGTGGTGTGGTAAGGTTCTTCAGGGGAAGAGGGTCTTTTCATTTCTTTAGTTGTGTCTCTCTCTCTCTCTTTTTAAAGATTTATTTATTTATTTTTTAAGCTTTATTTATTTTATGTATGAGTGCTTTATCTCATTATAGATAGTTGTGAGCCACCATGTCGTTGCTGAGAATTGAACTCAGGACCTCTGGAAGAGCGGTCAGTGCTCTTAACCTCTGAGCCTTCTTTCCAGCCCCAGTTTTCTAACTTAATCTCATACTCCTGTCACTTCTTCAACTCTGTCTCAAGTAGATATAAAAGTAATCTTATAATCTAAATTTTATGCCTTTAAATAAAAGGTGAATAGATTCAGGAGACATGGAGAAAAACAGGTTGACTAGGAGACTAATTGTCACGGTTACTTTAAAACATTTTGAGTTATAAAACTAGATGAACTGTAAAAGAAAAGCAATTTTACCAAGGAAAAATGGAAACTCAAAAGTATTAAAAGTAATAATAGTTTGAACTGGAGAGATGCTCAGCCATTAGAGCACTGGCTGTTCTTGGGGAGCCTGTTTGGTTCCTAGTACACATATGGCAGTGCAAACTATCTACAGCTCTAGTCCCAGGGATACAACACCCTCTTCTTGCCTTTGTAGGCACCAGGCACACACATTACATATACATACATGTAAGCAAACATCCAGTTATTAAAAATAAAGGAATCATCAAAAGGAATTATAATCATTATATATAATTATTTAAAGCTTAATTCATTAAGTCCAGTTCAGAATAAAGAATTTTGACATTTTAGGAGAAGGCCATAAAGACTCAGGAATCGGGGAAAGATAAAAAAATTATAGTAGTTCTACAGCTTTTTGTTTTCCAATAATCACAGAGCAGAGCCTATAAAGTTTAAGAAAAACTATAAAAATGCTCCTAAGTATGCTGAATCTAACAAAGACTACCACAAAACTGTGAGGATAGACATGTGGTTTGGTGGTACAGTGCTTGTCTGGAACACATAAAATCCTCTACCTGATTCTCAGTATCACCAAACAAACAAAACAACAGCAATAACAAAAAACCTCTAGAAAACAGAAAGCAATACAACTCTTTAAAATATAAAGAAATGACAATACTAATAAAAATCACAGCCGGC